ACTTATACCTTGAGCAGTATGAACAACTTTATCAAAAGTCAACTAAAATTAACTGAAGCTAAATTGTATCCACTAAAGGTGACTCCTTTGTTTTTCATTGCGCAACCTTTTCTGCGCATAACATTGCGACATCCAAGATGGCGACCGTTCTTACCGCTAGCGTGAAAAGAACAGACAAGGGCCGCCATTGCAGAGCGAAAGCTTTTATTCGCAATTATAATGCCGTAAATCAGCTGAAAACTTCCTTGTCTGCTCTTGATAAACAAGAAAATGAAAAGAATGTGCGTGATCCGGAAGTCTGCAGTGGATTTTCACTCCGCGGCCGTCGAGTTGTAGAATTAAATGTCCTTGCTAAGGCTTTGGACGGGGGCTGTGAAGCATGTGGGGCAGCTCTACGGCTCTCCGACTGCATAAAAGAGACATTGTCTGGGCTAGAATCACTACCCTACATATGCTGTTCAAACTCTGAGTGTGGAGACACAAATATCTTTCGAACAAACAAGACCCACCGTAGCACCTAAAAAACGCAAGGGAGACCAATCTTTGATGTAAACACGAAGCTCGCTGCAGGTTTGTTAACATTTAGAGCTGCTGAAAATATTGTTTTCCACCATTAAAGCATCCATTTAACATTTAGCCAATTTTTTAATAAGTTCAATCTACATATTTATACGGATGCTACACGCAGGCACAGGTCCTAACCAGAGTCCACGCTGAAAGTTCGCGAGAGGGAAGTAGCAGGGCCCCAAATTGAAAAGTTGGCAAAGGAATCATGTCTAGAAAGTTTAGAAAGCGAAAGAAACCTGTGGAAAGATGATAGTGAAAAGGAAAATGTGAAGACCACAACAGCCTGACAGGTACGGCGCCTCACCTTCGTTTGACCTCACGTCCTTTGTACATTGTTTTACGTTCTCAGTTGTCCGTGTATATTTGTTATTTTATTAGGTTCGCCAGTCATTTTGGTTACGTCACATTTCATATTTTCGTGCTCATTTTTTATGCATTATTGAGATTTTCAGCGTCATGGTAACGTGACGTCACGACTTTACCACTCTATATAAGATCAGTTACCGGAAGGAAAGGTGATAAATCATTGTCCTATGATGTAATGTGTTTCAAAATAGTCTTTCCTTGTATAAAGTACATTTCTGTTTGACATGAAGTTGAGACTAAGTACTAATGCATTCTCAATTGTGTCAGGAAGTAGAGTTTCTAAAGTGATGAGAGGGATGGAAAGGATCAGAGTCACTTTTGAAACCTTGAAACAGTCGGAAAAATGCGGATGAGTGCAGTTCAGTAACATGAAACAGACTGGTTATCTTTGGAGTAGTCACCGTGTGGAACATATGTGTTGGTAGCATGAACAGAATGGCTGACAGTTCTGGTGTCAGCCAATAGTCAAAGTTAATTAAATAAGTAATAAATAAATAAATCAAGTATATTCTTACTTTCACGACTAGGTGTTGGCTCCATGCTTGGCCTTAAAACTGGCAAGGGGATTTGCTATGGTTCAAGGTCAAAAAGGTAATATATATACATATATTTTGTCTACTAGCACCTTGTTGTAAACAACAAGAGCAATGTTCTTTTTTATCAATTTGACCAAAAAAGTACAGAATCATTCAACATACGACAGCACCCATATTTACCTCCTCTTGAAAGGTGTTACCCAGGACCTTTACTCATATTGTCTTCTGTAAAGGTGTGCAACATGTGAAACTGCCAGCAGACAGTGAAAAAAGCCTCGCATACACGACGACAGGCTCAACTGAGAAGGCTTGTCAAAAGCTATGGAAGCTGATGTTTGTGCTGATCTAGTCAAAAGGTAATTAATAACCAGGCATGTAATAATAAAAATAAGAAATAAAATAACAATTAAAATAATAGTTAACATGTTAAATTCACAGTTTTATTGCGGCAAAGAGAGACTTGTGGAATCTATTCTTATGATATCAGTGTTTCAGTTTAATGACACTTGAACCAGAAACAGTGGAAAGTCTTACATTACCTTACACTCTTGGTAATAAGGATTCAAAAATTGAGAAGAAAGCAAAGATAAAAATGCACCTTTATTCTATAATATGAGTATATTGAAAATGTAGAAAATAAAATACTTCAAGATAGGTGTAGTTTGAATGCCCTTGCTTTTTATGGCACAAAATGTTATTTTTGTGGTTTTACTCTGTTTAACAAGTTGTGGAGAAAAAAAAATGAACTTATATCTGTTCTTTTTGGGGATGATGATTCGTCCACCATGAGAAAAGGGAGGAAAAATGTTGAGCGTGAGGTTGAAAAATGGTTAGACCTAGTCTATGCTAAAAAACCCCTTGGTAGCTCAGTATACAGCATCAAGACCCCCTCTGACGAAGGGCTAATGCTCGAGACGTCAGTTTTTTAACTCTTTACGATGGCCAATTTACAATTTCAACTTAGTTTATATTACCAAATTATCTGGGTATAGTTGACCGTCAATGACGCAGCTCAGTTCATTGCTTAATATGTTCTAACCCGCAGCCTTGCAACTCAATCAGTCTCGCTTCTCGCCTCACGCGCATCACCAGCTCACTGAATTTTTTTAGTTCCCTCCCATCTCTCCCGTTTGATAATTTCTTACACTGTAGCTTTCCGTATTTCCATGTGTTGTAACCTCGTTTCCTTCGGCAGGTGCTTATGATTGTATTTTTTTTTTTTATCAGGGTGGGCGGGTCTCCTTTAATCATTACCTGTCAATAACTAAACTACCAACCTATCACGCAAACACTGCTTGTTGTTTTATTGTCTCGAACGTGTCTACTATTGTTTGCAAAGAAACTTTGGACCATGTCGTGTCCATCAACTTCAACAAGAGTATAAATCGTCGAGCGCCAGTATATTTTAAGAGCAACGCCTCTTTCAAAGTTATCTTTAAAACTGCTAAAACTGTTTTTTTTTGTTTTTGCAATAAAAATGAAGGATGTTCAGGATTTAATCCAGTTCGCGCAAAATCAAGGTGAAAACATTTTAATACTCGAAGCATTTAACAGAAGGATATCTTTATTTTTTCTTTTATGCAATTGGACTGCTGCGCTGATATAAAATAATTTTCATAGTTTATAGATCTGTGTGACCTGGAAACTAATGCGGCATTTTTCAAAATATTACAAAACAATAAATCATCGTCTCTCGGCCCGGAACTATAAGTAAAATAATGCTTATATTCAAAGCTATATATTCAAGGTGTATATAATAAACGCGAAAAGGTGTCGAGTAACTAACGATCTCACAATTTTAACTGTAGACGGCTGGTCTTAAAGGTAGCTACTTTAATAGCTCACAATGTGTGGTTAATAATCATTTAAGGTAGAGTATTGATTTGTGATAGTTTGGAGCCTTTCACAATTGAACTATCAAACTAATTGGAAATATTGCATTTTTTTAATCTTCTGCGATGGTTCCGTTGGGAAAAGCATGACAGCCTAATGGTCGTGGTATCCTAGACACCCTTCAGGTGTATAAATGGATGGAGGCGAATTTAAAACGGAGAGTGACCATGTGATGGACTAGCATCCCATCCAGGGGGAAGGGAGAGTACAAATATTTCTTCGCTTAGGCTGTATGGGCTACTGGCCTGACGCAGACTGTTTTTTTTTTTTTAATTCTAATACGTGTATCTCCTTGAACAGTGGCGATAACGTAATTTTTTTTTAAGTTGTAGATTTACCATGAATTTTTTATTAAATATTCTTATTAATTTTTTTAATTTATCTTTTTTCTTTTAATTTATTATTTCTCGGTCATTCCGGAAATTCTGGGTATTCCGAGTATTCTGATTCCGGTTCCGAATTGCAGCATTCAATGTTTTCCAACCTACCACATAGAAGCGTCCTTCCTGGTCCTGCAGAGTCTCAGGAGACTCTCAGCAAAAACATTTTATGGCGATGAGGGGCGGGTCGCATTACGGCCGATTTTTTTGAGAATTGTTTACTCTAGGGATTAAAATCTGTCAACACAAACGTTTTTTAATGCGACCCAATCAGTTTGCGTTTTTCAAAAATTTCAAAATTCGAGAAAACTATCAAAGACGCCTGTGTCCTTGGGTGGAGCTGGCCGACTTTGTTAAACAAAAGGGAACCGCGTCTGGTGCTGTCAAAAGTTGTCATGTGTGCTTGCGTGTAACGTACATTTTAAAATATAAAGACAAAAAAACAGCGGGAAATTGCTCCATTGCACGCTGACGTGTTACGTAAATGAAATTATGGATGGGCGGGATTTTTTCTTCCCCTACACAAATTTTCCAGGATTTTACAGCCATTAGCTACCAGCTAACGATTTTTATCCACATTAGCAAGATGTTAGGGGCACCCAACCATTCCGGCAATTTATAAGGCCCGAACCAGCGACTCCTGAAAATCACTTAGCCAGCCAGTCTCCCTGCACAAGCAATGCCAGTGGCTCGCCAGATTCCGCTTCTATAGAAGGAAACTCGGGAAAGAAATAATATGAAAAGTGGAACGAGGAAGAAAAATCACTGCTAATCAGTCTTTTCGCCAAAAGTAGTACCAAGAGAACTAGCGACAAATGCCAAAGGAAAGTGAAGTACTGGATAGACCGTTACCAGGCAGCGAAAGTGATTGGAACAGGAACCAGAGCGGGGAAAATCGAAAACAATCTATCTTCTGTGAGGAGATCGACAGGCTGGACACGCTGAGACCAGAAACGCCAGAGGGAAAGCTCTTATGCGATCTTAAAATCGAACAAAGTCTAGAGTGTATGATAAAACCGACAAGAATTGAAATGCGAGCTAACGTTGTGGTAACTATGATCCATCTCTCAGCGATCATGCCCTGATTTACGGAATTCTCGAAGAAATAGTTAACCTAAATAAACCTAAGATTATTAAATTCACGACCTACAAGAACTTTCAGCACGAAGAATTTCAAAAGCATCTGGCTGTTGCACCTTGGTACGTTGGGGAAAGTTTTGACGAGATAGATGATCAGGTGTATTTCTGAAACGCACTCATGACTGACATTCTAGATGAGATAGCACCTGTTAAAAAAATAAGGACTCGAGACAAAGACAGCACAATGGAAAAACACTATCAGAGCCAAGCGGAAAGCAAAAATACCGAATACCTTAAAAGCAATACAAAAGAGAATTGGGAACTTAAAAGTAAAGCGAGAAACGAAGCAACAAGGCAGAGAAGAATCGCAATTAGGGACTACTGGAGAAAGAAATCCGAAGATTTAAAAATGAGACCCAAGGAGTTTTTTAACACTTTTAGGCCTTTCTTGAACAAAAAGGGCCATACACACAATATTGAAGTCCATCTAAATGAAAATGGGTCGATCGTCAGAAATCAGTGCGAAGTTGTCGAAATACTAGCTGACTATTTTGCCACAATTGCTGAAGGAATCGGGGGAAAAAGCGCCGAACTTCAATCTATGCAGGACTTTGAACACCATCCAAGTGTTCAGAAAATAGTGGCGGAATCTATAAACCAAACGCAAGGCATTGAAGTAAAACCTATCACACAAATGCAAGTTGAAAATTCTCTAGAGTCACTTAACATCAACAAAGCCACCGGCTGTGATGATATTCCGGGAAAAGCACTTAAGGCAGGAGCAAAGGAACTCGCGAGGCCACTTCAGACCCTTTTCAACGCCTGTATAAAAAATAAGGATTGGCCAAGCGAATGGAAGGGTGGGGAATGGACGCCTATATTTAAAAGAGCGACAGATCCAGTAAGGAAAAGTACGGACCTATCATAGTCTTACCATGTGTTGGTAAGGTCTTTAAGCAGCTCATTGGCAAGCAAATTACGACCGACTTCGAAAAACACATGTGTGTAAACTCATCAGCCTACCGCAAAAAAATACAGCTGCGAAACCACGCTGATCAACTTGGTGGAGGGGTGGACAGAGGCCAGAGATAAACATCTCTTCGTAAGCGTAATGTCGACTGAAATGTCAAAAGGTTTTGACTCCTTACATCCACCGCCGCTATTGAGCAAACTCAAAGCTTACGGCTTCCAGGGTAATATAATTTAACTTCTGAAAAGCCATTCATCGAATAGGAGAAATCGTATAAAGTTAGGAAGCAATATCGGCAGCTCCGACAGATTAGTCAGTCCAGGCTGTCCTCAAGGATCCTCATTGGGTCCTCTGTTGTGGAATATAATCCAAAACGATCTATCTTATGTTAGAGATATATCAATGTACGCGGACGACCATCAGTTTTACCATACAGGTCATGACCTACCCACTACTCCATCCAAACTTAGAGACAGTACGGAAAAAGCAACCAACTGGTACGAATCTAATCTATTAGTTGGTAACCTTAAAAAATACCAAACCTTAATTATTGGTAGCAAGAATAACTCTGAAAATAACATCGAATAATGCGCTATCTTATTAAACAAAGAGAAAATCAACACGACCGTTACTCTCCAACTTCTCGGAGTCACAATTGACTCAAATTTGAACTTCAATAATCATATAAATACTATCTGTAACAAAGCCAGTCAAAGGATTGGTGTGCTTATGAGACTCTGCAACTTGATTCCAACAAATGCAAAATGACTACTTTTTAAGGCAGCCATTCAACCATATCTAACCTACTGCCATTTCACATGGCATCTTTGTAAATCCATTGATAGTCGCAGATTGGAGAGAGTTCTAGAAAGAGGCCTAAGGGCTGTATTCAAAGATAAACACTCCACCTATGAAAGTTTGCTGCCGGAAGCCGGCTAATTTACCTTCGCTAGTAAACAGACGCTTACAGGATATATGCACTTTAAAGTACAAAGTTAAACACAACCTTAGCCCCTTGAATATTTGTAATATATTTCAGGAACACAACGTTTGCTATAATTTAAGACAGGCCGACTTTTCTATTCCTAGATACAACACAATAACTTACGGCAAACATTCACTGCGCTATTTAGGACCTAAATTATGGAGTAAACTGACAACTTATGACAGATCAGCCACAACATTAGCTAGATTCAAAAACCACATACGTAAGCGTGACCTCAGCTCCCTCTTAGATGATGGCTGCGGGGGCTGTGCTCTATGTACTTCTTAATTCATTTCATATATTCTCATACATGATATGACTTAATTCTATTCTTAAGTATGATGATGATGATGATGAAATATTTATTATTGTAGATCAAACTAAACACTTGCAGACATACGTGCAAGTTTACAACGGATCTCTACAAACATTAAACTAAATAAAATTAAAAAGAAACATATTTATAAAACAGCGCTGAAAACGCTCTGTGCGAACACACGGCAACGTATAATCATGACCACGCTGGTGTAAAGGACGTGCACGTTTGCTCGGAAGGAGATCCGCCAAACAATGCGCGTTTACATGTGTGACTTTCTCCCACAACTGTTTATCCCTAGTTTAAATTACATTGTTGATGGATATGCGACCCTTGGTGTAACTATATTTCCATGCTCGCTTTCAGAATTTCTCAATCTTAGACAGGTATTTACAACCATAAGCACATGCCCATACCTCAATTGCGTATGTAAATACAGACATAATCAAGCTACGAAATAAGATCGTAAGTTCTTCTAAGGTGTACCCATAGTACTTACAAATCCTAAGGATATAGAGTCTTGAATTAGCCTTATCCATCATATTGTGAAAAATGATTATCCCAGTTGCATGGATTTGATCTCATTCTTTCTTTCAATCATAAGTACAGTTACCGGAGGGGTTTTTTGGGTCCTTCCTCTCATTACGAACTCCCATGTTTTGGTCAAATTTAGCTTCATACGATTCATTCTTGACCAAAGCTTAATGTTTTTCATTTCACTCACCGATGAGTCATCAGGAAAATTCGGCCCAATCGGAATGCTCAGGGTGATGTCATCTGCATACTTAATGAGCAGATTTGTTTCTGGATTCACAGCATTTATGTCATTAACAATTATGGAGAATAACACTGGGCCTAGGACAGTCCTCTGTGGAACACCCTTGTCAATTGCAGTGAACTTTGTTGTAACACCATCAACTACGACTCTCTGTTTACGGTCAATCAAGAAATTAGTTATCCAGCTAATAACATAAGGGTTAATATCATATGATTTTAGCTTATTACATACAATCTGATGAGGAACGAGATCAAAAGCTTTACTAAAATCGAAAGAATACCCCTTAACAAAGTCTGCATCTTTATCCAAACATTTTAACCAGAAATGTTGACATTTAAGAAGTGCTAATGTAGTATTTTGTCCCCTCTTGTAGGCAAACTGATTAGGCCCAATAGATGACTGCAGAGTAGGAAATATTTCTTGTTTGTAAATGACTCTTTGAAAATTCTCACGATTACATTTGTAAGTGATATGGGTCTCAATTGACTACATTCACTTAATGGGGATACCTTGGGAATAGGTGCGACATTGGCCAATTTCCATAAACAAGGAACTTTTTGCTGTTTAAGTAGGTAATATTTTTTGTAAACAATTTTTATCCATTTTCTTTGTGTCCCCACATTAGTATGGGATATCTCCCAAACTAGAAGGTTCTTTGACACGTTAATAAAGTTTCTATTCTTCTATCTACTTGGTTGCAGAGTTTCCGTGACACTCCGTCACGTTGCTCAAGCCGGCTCCAGCTCTTGTATTGATGACGTTGTGGAAGTAAACAAGGAAAGGGAGATCGCTAAAGACGAAGACAGCAAAACTTGTACTCTGGCAGAAGAGAGCTCCTTGTTGAAGGTTATCTCTTGTGGGTCTCTTGTTCCCTCGGGGTAAGGCTTCATCAAAAAATGATTTAGGGGGGTAGATACTATCTCCAACAAGACAAGGGATTTTTCTCTACCACCCACAATTACGGTAGGCGTAGTAATAATCTCTCTCTGTTCTCCTTTCCCCGCAGTACGCGAGCATTGTGCATACTGCCGGAAAATCCGCAAGCGAAATCAGTGAACACTTTTTTTTCCCATTTATGACAGCTTGTATAATAAAATTATGCTGCAGATATCTATTAAAGTAGTCAGCACCACTGTCCGATGGGGTTTTTATCCTTACGTGAGAACCGTCAATTGCACCTACAATGTTTGGCAAGGCAGATAGTTCCTCAAAGGGTTGTATTGATGCGTTAAGCTCTACAGAGGTCTCTGGGAATTTGATATGGTCATCCCGAAGTTCATAGAGAGCTCCCGCCACACCTTGCACAGCTTCTATATATTACTGTTGATTTACCAACATTTAAGTTCGGGCCGATTGTTAGATAGGAGTTTCCATGAGCCAAACGGTACAGTCCAGTGGCAAGTACTTTGGCGGTAGATAAACAAGATCTATATCGTGATTTTTTTCCGCACAATTGTAGCGCCTAGTACGTGAAGAACCGTATTGAAGGTTGCTCTATTCATTCGAAGCTGATGTCGAAAAAATATCGTCTGGGATGGTGAGATCGTGATAGTGTATTTCGAACCAAGATTCGTTGGGACGTGGAAGTGACCAGGCATATGCATATGGCGCTCGTCGTAATTGTCACAAACGGTTACTTAGTACTCTCAAGGCAGCAGCAAACAATCTGTTACAACTATTTATTCATCTTTCCAGCAGCAAAACAAAAGCAAGCATTTGATTTTGTTGTTGTTGAATAGCTGAAAACAACAAGACCTTAATCGCCGATGCAAAGTGTTCTGTTTCGGCGTATGGTTAGTTCGCGGGAATGCTTATTTGCCGGCTGTGAGATTGCCTGCGTGATTGACGTTTTCATTTTTAACCTGGTTGAAATGCAACCCATTTCGATTTCCGGTTAAGAAAAATGACTTTTTCATTTTCTTTTTAGTGTGAACTAAAATAAAAATTGTAGGGTGATGCCACTCAGCCCTAACTATTTGTCAGTCATCCGTGACAGACCTTAAGTTGAATTCTTCTGAACGGCAATTTTGATTCAGCATTTTTGTTTTTAACTTAGATCGGCTTAAGCACGCCGCGGCAAAATGTAATGGTTGCTAACTGAGTGCGAGTAGCGAAGATAGCTTAGACCGCGAGCCTTTATAATAAAGGTTTTGGTGAGATTCTTTCGTCATTCCGCGTCCAATTGCTTTACAGAGTATTCGTGTCAGGCGGAAAAAAGGATTTGTAAAGAAGAAGCGTTACGCCCTCTATCATGATAGAAGGCGTAGACCACGTGAAACTAAAGAGGGTCTTAGTTTTTAAAATCACGAAAACTGAGATCCCTGAATTTACCGTTAAATTTGACCTAAAACACAGGAGATAATTTGTCAGATTAGACCTATTTTGGTTACAATTTGACATTAAATTTCGATGGATTCGATTCTAGGAGGTCTTAGTTTTCGTAATCTCGAAAACTAAGACGGGGCTTAGGTCTTAAGTCTTAGTTTTCGAGGGTTTTTGTTTCCGTAACACCCATTAAAAGACATCCTGTTTCGAGCTGTTACAATAGGGAAGTCTTCGTGGCAGCAGATAAGTGCCGAGTGCTACTTGTTTTACTCTAGACTTGGCTGGTTTTTGGGTCCTCAACGAAGAGGAGACTCACACAAACTCTAGTCCTGATTACATCTACCTTTATTGCTAAATCAAAGTGCTTATATATATATATATATATTTTTTTTTTTTTTTTTTTCCGGTGGCTAGTTTTTACGTGATTAAATATGCAAGGGAAGGCGCGTGGTTTCCTTTCCAGTAAACATCTTAATTCGAACGTGAGCATAATGCTTTGTTCTACCCTATTTAGCTAAGTAAATCCTGCTCTGTTAAGAATACACTTTGCACAT